GACTTCGGCGTGCCAGACTTTGCAGAATATGGCACTGCCATGGCGCGCCGGCTTCCGCATAGCGTTGGCCGCACTCACGACAAACTCGGTCCGCGTCGTCGCGTTTCCATTGCCCTGTGGTAAAGGCCCCCTTTTGCTTGCGTTGCTGGCAAATGCAGCACTGCCGCTCTTCGCAGTATTTGTTCAAAAGCGCGGTCCAATCTATCGTTTCGCCGCGGAGATGTCGCAGCAAGAGCTCCCGACCAACGCCGATACCGCGCTGGAATGGCTTCGCGTCGAATGGGCGAAACAGTAAGAGCTTCTCTCGACCGGGGACACGTGTGAAAGCAACACACGCTGTAAAGGGATTACGGCCGAGTCCGATGTTCAAATCGGTCATGACGCCCTCTATAATGGTCTGCCCCTGCGCAACATGTGCCGTGATAGCAAATGCTGGAGCGACCGGAAATTGCGTTCGCCAAACACGCAACTGTTGCGGGTATTTCTTGTGGCGATCCAGGAACCACACTCTTTTGCATGGCGCCACCGGATACACATTGGCGTCTGGCATCCCACTAACGTGCCAGTTCGTGGCGGTGTAAAACTTGATGTACACGACTTCGGGCAATTTGTTCCAGAGAGCCACACCATCGCCAGTGACTTCCTCTGAAGGTGACGACCACCCAACCACGATTCCTTGGCAGCCTTTCAAAATACCACGTTGCCGATCTAAATGGTCGGTCGCGCGCGCGATACACAAAGGTAACAGGCCGTACAGACCCCCGCACTCCTGGTCGTGTCCTTGCAGCCACTGCATCTTTTCCGTGGCAATGTCCATTTTGTCTTGCAAGACAGTTGCCGAGGCCACGTCCCGGGCCACTGCTATGTGCGCGACTACCTTATGTTCCGCTGCCCAGCTGAGAGCACGTTTGTTCACGTGGTACTTCACGTCATTCGTGGCAAAGATGGCTGCGGGGTCTGCAAAAGCCTTCTGGAACCTGCCGGGACACACGGTCCTCGGCGCACTGCACGCTCACGCCGACGAATCGTGTCGGGGCTCTGACCCACCAATGCTGCGCACGCAGGCGTCCCGCATGCCGGGCGTCCCAGCGTCCAGCTTCCCGGCACAGAGGTCACGTTCCCGTGCAGGAAAGCGTGGCTGTCCTCGGAGAGCTCCCCCCGGCGCAGTTGCTCTTGGACTTCTGTGAGCCATGCGTCGCCTGTCCGTTCGCAGCGGACGAGCTCCGTGAGCCCTTGCATGCCAACCGTTGGCCCGCCCCAGAGTAGCGTCTGACCATGCAAGGCAGTCGCGCTTGCTTCGCCTTTTTCTTCCCTGTGAGCAGGTCCCATGGAACATCTCCGACAAAGGTTCACATTCAGGCCACCGAAAGATTTGGCCAGGCTGAGGTCTCGCATGATTTCGCGACAGCGGTGTTCCAGCTGCGCCAGTAGTTCTGCGCTTACCACGCTGAATTCGTCTAAAATTAACCATCGCCATTGCAAGGTTTGTCGCGCGCGCTGCAACGTACGCAGCAGATTCTGGTTCCTTTCCCCTGCCCAGTCTAAGCCCAATGCATGATGTATGGTGTCTCCTTCTAAGAGTTCTGCCATGACCGCTTGAAAGCTGACGACTTGAAAGCGTATTCCATGTGTCCAACCCAACCTCTGTTCGAATAACTCCTTCCGCGCCATTTTGAGCGTATGCGATTTTCCGGCGCCGGGGCCGCCGTGTAGCACCCAGCGCAGTGGTTGCGAGCAAGGCGTACCGGGTTCTAACTGGCTGTCGTGGAGCTCTTGCAGGATACGCATGCCAAGCTTCGTACACAAACTTGCTTGTTCGGCATTGCAATCGTCCTTGCCCGTCAACTCGGCGAGCCACGTTTGCACGGCCTCCTCAGTCTCGTCAGGCGTGGTCTGCACCGCGGCGACCTGTTCCTTCGGCGCGGCCATGGCGTGTTGCTTGGTTGGGTGGGCCCGCGCTGCCTTGCGCACTGCGTCTGCCGACAGGTCTGCGTACGCGTTCGGTGGCGGGCGCCCCGACACATCCGGCGACATCGGCGTCGACCACAGTGCGTCGGCTTGCTGCACTGCCTTCGACGCGATGGGCGCGATCGTCGTTGTGGGCGGGGCCGCTGCGGTGCGAGTGCGCGGGCAGTTGTGTGCGAAGTGCTCCCGGTAGTTGCTCCGGAGCCAACACGAACGGCTCGTCCGCCCCGTCGTCGTCGCTGTTTCCATCTGCTTCGGCGCTGGGTCGCACACGATAGACGGAAAGAAAGTTGCCGACGTGCCGCTTCGTCTCTGCACACGGCAGCCGACGCAGCCATCGCCGCAAGGCATCTTCCCAAGACTCCTGTTGGCCGCGCAAGTGTCCTATAAACGGGACATTGTCCGTCGCTTGTGTGGCGTTCAGCGTCCAAGCTCGAAAATAAACTTGCGTTCCCTTCTGCGTTCTCAGCAAACAACCCCTTGGGGACGGGGCTCTCGGCAAATTGCGGGCACTTCGGCCGTCGACGGCGTTGCAAATACCAATTGCGCCGCAAGCTCGCTTTGGCCCCCGCGCTAGGGAACAGACTGCGATCGGAGCTGGGCTCCAATTAAGCACACTGTGTAGTGGGCACCTGGTCGCAAGCGTGCCGGCGCGTCCGATACGGTTGCCAGTAACTTGCGCTGGCCCGCAGGCGTCAGCCGCACGTCCCAGGCAGTTACGGGAGCTGCGTCCCACTCGGTGCGGCTGTATGGAACGCGCGTTGGCACGAGCTCCCAGTGCATGGTAAACTCATATGGGGACAACCACCAGACTTCCGACTGCATGGGGCGGTGTCCATATGCTTCTGCTGGGACGCTTTCGCGCAAGTGTCGTGCTCCTGTCCCCGGTGCAGCCTTCGCGCGCACGTACTTCTGGGGTGGCACCTGTCGGTCAGCGTCTCGATCTAGGGCTTCCAATAGAGCTACATACGCTTTGCCAGGAAAGCTCACAAAATCTGCGGTCGAGATCCGCTCCGCTGCCACGATTTGCCCGACGCGATGGTTTGTCCGCAAGTTGCAACGTTCGACTTGTCCCCGAACCAAGCCTTTACAGTAGGCGTCGCTGAGGAAACGGGTCGCGTGTCTTTTGCCCATGGTTTGCACGTCCTTGTTATGGTTATGAGCGGTCTTGCTGTACATCCGTGCGCAGCCTACAGTTGTCTCTTCATATCATTTCTACTCATGTCTTCTTGCGGCGCGTCATCTACATCTGCGCCTACTTGTGCTTTCTTTCTTGTCAGCTGCCTCTGATGGCCTCAAGAGCGGTCTTGCTATACATCCGCTGGTTGAGAGCCACAATACGCCACCCACGGACCGCAGTTGGCGCGACGTTGATCACTCAGAATGAAGGTCTTCTCAGCATGGGGTCGGCCAACTTCTGGGTCTCTGATGGAATGCTCAATCGGATCATCCAGTCGGTTCAACACTTGTTGTCGCTCCCCTTCAGGTGACTCGCCCCCGTCTCGCGGGCGCGCGTCGGCCACTCGAGTTAGTTCGCCCTCCTTTTCACTCCCACAATGATCTCGACAGCGAGATCCGAACGCCCAGCAGCAGAGCCGTTTGTCCACCGGCACAGGCCAGGGCCATAGTCATACATGAACCCACTCCGGAGTGGCAAGCCGGAGAAACACGTGTAACCACAAATTGAATGTGTATCACTCACCGACTCACAGCTAACAAGGAATTGGATGTGATCAACCCTTGCTTATATGATATCTATATATATATCTTGTTATCATATATACTTATCATATACATAATTTATATATAAATATCTTCGCCGCTCTCCGAACAGCTTTTTTTCTCTCCAAAGTCGAGTCACCTGTGGGATAGGGAACTGGCGCAACCCTGTCTAGCAATCGAAATTCCTCTCGTAGGACCCATGCAATCCCAGAGGAACCTGGTGCTAAACATCTCACCCAGAGAGAAACACCCAACTCTACCTCCCCGGGTGGGTGGGTGGTGTTTAAAACAGGGAGGACTGTTCGGGCAGGGACTTGACCCAAAATGGCCACGTTGTTCGTCCCTCTAAGCAGACATTTACATTCGTACCTGCGGCACGATCTGTCAATATCTTAGCCGCTCTCCGAACAGCTTTTTTTCTCTCCAAAGTCCAGTCACCTGTGGGATAGGGAACTGGCGCAACCCTGTCTAGCAATCGAAATTCCTCTAGTCGGACCCATGCAATCCCAGAGGAACCTGGTGCTAAACATCTCACCCAGAGAGAAACACCCAACTCTACCTCCCCCCGCAAGTTCCACATGGTGGCACACTGCAACTTTGATCTGCAAAAGGCAGTCCAGAACCCCAAGGCCACGTTTGCAGTGAACATGCACATTTGGGGCTGTGAGACCACTGAGGATATCATTGGAAAGGTTTGCACATTGAGTCGGAAGGTCTCTTCCCGTTTGCCTTCGCAAAGGACACTCGAGTTGGTGCTGACAAAGTCAAAGGCACTACGCCGCCGGCACCAACACCAGGTATCTAAGGGCCTGGGGCCTGGCTTGATATGACTTCATCCTCTCCAGCGGCTAGAGACATGAGCATGCGACGCTGCCGGAAACGTCCAGGGACACTTTTCATGGGGTCGGCGGCAGGGCGGTAGCCCTTAAATATATAGTGCAAAGTGAATTTGCAACAGAACACCACTACTGAGTATCTGACTCTGTTCAGCTATGCAAAGAGCAGCACAGGTCGCTTCAGTTTCTCTTCCGCTGAGGCTTTTTTCACGCATTAGCCTGACACGAGTCCATTCCTTGTTACTAATGCCCTTGTTACTAGTAGCTTCTAGCTACTAGTAGTAATGCCCTTGCCCTCTGATCAGTAGCCACAAGCATCGAACACCATCTGAGTGCCTCAAGAAATTCACCGAGAGCCATCCCTAAACCCAAAACAGGTGTCGGTCGGAGACGCGACATAAAGCGCTGGACGGTCGGTCGGGTCGCTGATCACTCCACCTGAAGGGGCCCAGGTGCTGATCCGGAAGTGTTACTCGTGGCGATGCCCTGTTACTAGTAGCCTCTAGTGCGGTCCTTAAATAGAAAGTATGGTTTGGATTATTCCGTGCACTGACCTCTTTGGCGTTATGTACAACAGGCCGATGTTCGGCCACTACGAGGCATGGCACTCGCATCTCTTAAAAAAGATCCACCGCAGGCCTCAAAGAAGCAGAACTTGGCAGAACTAAGCATTCTCTACCCCCGAACCAATGAGACCCGCTTTCAAGTTCTCCAGAACTTGTGAAACCTTTCTCCTCCAAGAAGTCCAAGTGGCTTGAGATTGCACCGTGCTTGGACAAACCGCACCTCAGGTCAGTGGATGCTCAAGGAGGTGGAGCTCTGCAAACTGTGTAAACACACATCTTCCGAGCATCCGACACAACATCCGAGCCAAGGAGCTCTTTGGGATCCATATCCTGAGACAAACAAAAGCTGTGGGACTGACTGGTTAATCCTCAATTCAATTTCATCTATCTAGGGGAAGATTGGCCTGCTTTCTCTAATACCTTTAAAGAATTTCTCCAGGCCCTCTTTCTCTGTTCTTCAAGCCTTCATGGTGGGACACACAAGGCCTGCAGGGAAGCATTCCGATCGTCTTTCTTCACGATCCCCCAGATCCTGGGATGTAAGGATCAAATCCTTTCAATAGAAGGAAAGATAGGAACGTGGACAACATCGGGCACCAGCTTTCTTGTCAAGAAAACTGTTGTTTCGTGCATTGTAAAACATACAAAATGCTGGAAATTCAGGGCCCAACCCCTGCTGAAAGGCTTTAGGTCTTGGATTGGACTACTAACAAGAAGGAACGTCTTTATCGAAAAGGAAAAGTGGTAAGTAGGTACTAGTTTAAGTAGCTATTACCAAGGACTTAGAAGAGCTCCGATTCGCATGCATGATTTGGTTCCTAGACATTTGGAAACTTCCTTCACCTTAGACTTTTCTGTTCATTCAATCCGTCCTTGCCTTTCCTACTAGAAACAGGAAAAAATGCAACACGCTATTTGACCGCCACTTCCTCTTCTAGGGCTCTCACCAGGCCACGTGAGGCCAAACAGGCATCCAGATCCAGCCAGACTCCAGCCGTCGAACCTTGTGAAAGTCCTCATCACAAAAGAAAATACATTTCTTTTTTTGCCCGCGCGCTCTTCCCCCGCGCCTGCCTAATCAAGTAAGGGAGTAGTTTGCTACTAACTACTCAAGCTACTAGTATGGACGCAGGATAGCTCACGCTCGCACTAATGATTTGGTTCCTAGATTTTTAGAAACTTAACCTCGCTAGGTTAGAGGCCATCGCTAATACTTGTCGTACCCCATCTTCAATTCATATCCAATAGATTCCAATAGTATCCAAAGCCATTCCATCTACCAAAGCCCGGCCAATTACCAATCAGTACAAACTTGTGTCTCAAGATTCTGCCCCGCCCAAAATTTCAAGACTGGGATTATGGCGTCCACTGTAGTGCGCCGCGCTTCCAGCATTTCAGTGAAGTACTTTGCTGTTGGAGTCCAACGTTGCCTCTCCGAAAATCGAAACCCAAAGAATCAAATGGAAGTTGGTCGTCCCCAGTTTAGTAGCAGACTGAACACCTTGTCATGCAGCAAAGGAGCTTTCCAAGGTTTGTGCCCTTGTACAGGTGCTGGCACTGCGGACCTTCTGTACCTTTCAGGTGCTAGAATCATGAGCATCATCATCGTCATCATCGTCATCATCATGATCTGCTGCCAGTCAGAACTGGCAATTGTTGACATGTATTGATAAATGGTGCGCTGTAGACAGGCTTGTTTTTCTACCTCAGCGGCAGGTGTCGCAAAGCAGCTAGCCTTCAGCCAGCCTGTTTCATCATATGCAATACTACCACACTCACGTTATCTTGCGCCTTCCTCTCTTCAATGACATGCTGGACAAGCTCTTTGCAAACACCTCGAATGTCAATGGCATCTGCCTCCAACTCAGCTCGACCCTCCTCGTTGGTCACTAAGCTGTGGGTGAACTCCAAAGCTTCTGCAGCTGTCCAAGCATTCCAAAAGCCATCACAAGCAAGGATGACAAAGCGATCTTTCTCTCTATCCATCTGGAACTTCATGTACTCGGGCGTGCAAAGTACTCCGAACTTTTTCAGGGTCAGATCACCAAAGGCTCTGGAAACCTCCAAGATTCCATTGATGCGTCCGTTTTCCACAGCGCCGCCTGAACGAAGGATCCTGTCTTTCTCCTTCATCATCCAGCACTTGTGCTGTCGCTGCTGCAAGGGGATACACATCGTGTCATCCTGGTCATCAGTGTCTTTCTGTCGGCAAAGGTATGCCATGCTGTCTCCCAGGTTGATACAAATCATTTTCTCAGAGTTTGCCAAAATCATATTGGCAGTGCATCCATCGTAGGCACCCGCAAGCTCGGTCGCAATCCTTGAGTCCATCCTTTGGAAAACAGCCTCGGTGACTTTGATCAGGCGCTTGTCTGTCATTGGGCCCTCTTTTGGCTCGTCATTGGCATAGGCACTGGCTAACTCGGGGCCTAAAAAGGTTTTCACGAACTCCGCTACCTGCTTGCCGCCGTGACCATCAAAGATACCGAACAAGGCAAAATCTCGTTCTTCAGGAAGTTGAGGCACCATGTCACGCAGAGATGGGCAAATGACCGTCTCATCTTCCATTTGACGGCGCATGCCCTTCTCACCATAGGCACCTGCACGAATACCACACCAAGTGACCTCAGCCATGGTGATATTCTCTGCTGCTGCAGCAGCTGCGGCCTTCTTCACTTCTGGGGCGAGCTCAACGACCTGAAAGCAAGGTGTACAAAGAACATGATTGCATCCGTCGGAACAACTTGTTTTTGGTTTTTAAGGGGGGTAGGCCGCGGAGAGAGGAGAAGAGAGGAGAAGAGAGGAAGGTACAAGCTAAAGTAGTAGCTATTAATTGGGTACTAAACACGCTCCTAGTAACTGGACGCAGGATAACTCACGCTTCTTCAAAGAAGCTCCCCAGCCACCCTCAAGGCGGCGGGGGGGAGCTTCCTTGAAGAAGCGCTCGCACTAATGATTTGGTTCCTAGGCTTTGAGGAAAACTGGAAACTAAACTTGTTCACTGTTATCTAGAGTAGGCGCCACTATAAATCATTCCATCTGCGTCGAACTCTTCCGACGAAGCATTGAAACCTGCCTTGTCAAGCTCTTCTTCGGCTTTGCGCTTCTTTTCCATCGATGGCTGCACTCCCATGGGCAAGTATTGGCCATGAAACTCTGGTTCGGTGAAAATGGTATCTCCTTCTTCCACTTTGTGCTGTCTCAAGGTTTCTTCATCTTTCAAGCTCTTGCCGTTGAATTTGAGCTTGTAGCAGTCCAAACCCTTCTTCTCCTGGATCTTCTTACGGACGCTCTCAATGAGCTCATCCGGGTTCAGGTCGATCTCCACATCATCCTTTCGAGACTTAGACTCAGGTGGTCTCAAATAAACCTTCATGGGCACGAAAGGACAAGCCGCTCTACTTTTTCTCCTTTGAGCCTAATGGCTTCACATGGGAAGACTGGAAACAGTTTATTGGCAAGTGTTTTCCGTTCCAAGTCGACAAGACAACGTTTAGTTTAGATTTGTACAGTAAGTAAAACGTTGATCTGACAGCAGCAGTATTATTTTCATCAGTGCTTCCGAGCACTTAGAGCTGAGTCAACTGCAATGTGACAGAAATGACACGGGCGGAAAGCGCCGGATCTGCACCTCAAGAAATCGATCAAAGAATCAACTAGAGCATAATAGAACAGGCTAAGAATAGTCTTGCGTTATGTGTAAGCTGCGTCCTGGGTCGTGATCAGGCAAAGGGGGCAAGACAAATAGGCGATGGGTTTTCAAGGAAGTTCCCACAATTAATGAAGAAGCTACCTCGAAGAACCCTTGCGGTGCGAAACGGTTCATAGAATTTCCTTAGTATTTAAAATTGTTCCCAAAGCATCTCATTCCAAAACGTCATTGGCTGATGAAAACACTGTCGTATGACTCAGTGGAACAGGTCAGTTGCAGTTTTCCGGCTTGAGATTTCACAACTGCGGGACCAAGTTGACATGCCTCCGAAAAGACAACTGGAGAGACAAAATAATCCTGAGTGTCATGCCTTGTGGGCCTCCAAGTGCAGGAGCAAGTATTGCTCTGTGTTGATCATGTACCCTTCCTAGCAGCTGGGCTGAAAGGGCACTATCAGTGTCTTGAAAAACTTCCACAGGACGTACGTTACCTTCAATGAATTTCGGAACCAACTGGAAGACTATACCACTAATCTGGCCTGTGCGACTCTGGCAAGGTAGCTCCAAGCGCTGCCATCCAGAATCGACTGGCACATGTCACGTGGTCAAACCATTGTATCTGTGGTTCAGACTAAGATAGTCTTTGCATAGAACATCCCATGACAACATATTTTGATGCCCAATGGAGACTGCAAACCAAACTTCCATCCGAAATGCACCAGCCTCCGAAAGAATGCAAAACCATAAACCGATGTACTGATATACACTGCTACATACAGCACGATACAGAGATGTACATACGCGGAATGTGCTGCATCTAGGTAGTCATGGCAAACCTCAAAACCTCGTCCTAACGAGGGCTCTGTGTTGTACCTGATAGCGATTGAAGTAGGCATCGAACCAGCGCTTTGGAACGACAGCATGACGGTCCTGCAGGAATGCTCTGCTCAATGCTTGCAAGCGGAATGACATTAAAAACCGCTTGCTGAGCCGATGACGTTGACACCTTTGAGGGGGTTGAAATTGTAGTTGTTGTTGTCCTGCAAAGCAGAAGAGCGGAAGCACACCTGTTGCCACTTGTTGCAGATCATGGTCAAGGAAAGCACTGCTGCAGGGTGCTAAGCTGCTGAACATTTTTTGCCGTACAAGTCATTCCTGGCCCATTGGTATGTGCACGTACGCTGGGTCCAGCACCTGACCAAACATCAATGCTCGTGTCTCTGGTCACCAAACGGAAGTAAAGAAAACTCAGTCGGGAATCAAGAAGAACTTTGAAGCCTGAGGTTCCATGCACAAACTTACATCATACCTATTACTGGCCTCAACAGGTGGATGTCTCTGCGTCCAGAACATTTCCGCTCGTGCAAAGACCTAAGAGCTGTCGGTTAACGGCCCACATTTTGTGTGGATAGCACAGACAAACTATTCAACAATCCTGGGTCAGGTCGCTGCATCTAGAACTAGAACTAGAACTATCAGAATGAAAAGTTGCCTTGAGTGTCTCCGTTGACGGTCGACGTATGAATCTTGAGGTGATATGGCCGTGCGCCGCACCACCCATTCATACTGCCACCCACGCTGGTTCCTCGAGCAGAGTTAACTAGAGCTGGCAAAACATGTCGTTAATTTTCAGCAGCAATGTCAAGCTAATCATCGCGGCAACCCTGGCGTCTTCTGAAGGGAAGGGGAAAAGCTTCTCTTGAGATGGTCATGCCAGGTGCTTTGCGCTTGTGGAAGTTGTTGCACCTACACCGACACCTATATACATATATATATATATTTGGTTTCCAACATGTCTTTTCCCAAAATGGTGCACTCATCGCAATTCCATGGGGGCCCGCTTCTAAATCTCCTTGAAACTCCAACCACACTCAAACCACAGGGATGTTAAACATGAAGGCATGTCAACTGCAAAAACTGTGAGAGGTGTCTAGCGCAGACCTTTCCAGGGGCCTGGGGCCTGTTGAGCTGCTGGAGCTGTTGTTGCTGCTACTGCTGCTGCCGGACTTCTGCAGTTGTTTCCCATTTTTGTTCTCAGAAATCTTCAGGACGACATAGGAAGGATGTAAGAGCTGACTCAAAAGATTTGGATGTTGGATGGGCGAATGGTCAAGAAATGGACCGTCGTCTAGCGCGGTGCTAGCGCGGATCTAGCGCCAGCCTAGCGCAAAAATATCCGTCGATTTCTTTATCCTGTCAGATTCTTTTTTCCTGCTTGCTTGTGCATTATGTTTCTTCTTCTGCTTTGTTTTTCTTGTTCTTGTCTTGCTTCTTCTTTTCCTGCTCTCTGCTTGTTTCTTATTTTTCTGCTTGCTTACAGTGACGCCATAGTATCCTGTTATGAAGAAACCTAGCGCCAACCTAGCGCCAATCTAGCGTCAATCTAGCGCTGCCTTGCTGTATCACCATAGTCTGCTGGGGGCCCGCTTCTAAACGAAGACTTAAAAACACATCTCCAACCTTAAAAGTTTACGTTTATCTATATTTTTTGAGTAGGGCTTTTTGAGCGCAGTCCGTAGAGGCTTGGATGCCTTCCCTGCAAAACATGTTTTCCAGAACAAAGCTTTTTGCCAAGGCACTCAAATGATTCCACCATCCTGACATACAACATACACAACTGCAGGGAAAAGAAATAGTCTGAAGTCTGAACCCCGCAGGAATACGTGCAAGACGGCCTTCGACAGCCGTGCTGGTTATGATATCCCCACCTGGAATTGAAAAGGATGTGAGGTCTGATGAGCTTTTATAATGAATCAAATAGTCAGGGGCGAAGCTAAGGCAGCTAAGGGCCTCACATACTACTCCCCATTTGTCGAAAGAGAGGAGCTCTCCATGGCCCTTTGGCCATACCATAGAACCTGGCTGGTGAATCGAAAATGCTTTTTTGATTTTTGGGGGCCAGAAACATTTGACAATCTGCAAAGAGAAGAAAATCAACGTATCAAACTCCACACCTGGGCCAGAAGTTCAATCATTGTAGCTCGTGGTTACCCTACGTTACCCTTGCAAAATTGTTCGTTCCTGATAGCAGCCTGTCTTGTCTTTTGCCTGATCAAATGCTCGTTTAAGCAGTCCTTCGAATCTTATCCCCCAATGATTTGTTTGCCGGAAGCATGCTTCGAAGAAACCGTCTCGCCCAAATGATCCAAACGATTCAGCTCGAGCCAGCTGCGCAATCTGAACTTTGGGTCTTTCAGCTCGCTGATCACCCGTGCCTCACGTAAGCTCCAAAAATCAATGCCAAACGTGGTGATCAAACAAAGGGCAAGCAAGGCACCTCAAAGGTGTCACGGTCCACATCCGGCACTAAAATGGCTGTAACCTCGGAGATGTGTAAATGGACTGTTGCTTGAGACAGAGCAATTGCCTCAAACCTAGTAGCAATGGCCTCCAACCTAAGAGCGATGGCCTCCAACCTAGTAGTGATGGCCTCCAACCTAAGAGCGATGACCTCCAACCTAGTAGTGATGGCCTCCAACCTAAGAACGATGGTCTCCAAGAGAATGTCGAGGTGAATACGCTCCAAAATCTAAGATAGCAATGAGCACTCTTTAGATTGGGCCGGAGCAAACAGACCGAAAAACTGTTTGTCGCAAATGGAGCGCTGCATAAGCCTCAAAAAGCCTCAAGCTGTGACGAGCCTTGGCCTCCCACGGCTTCACCCAATCCTTTCAAATCTTCCTGAGAGCAACTCGCCAGCCGTGGAGAGCAACGACAAACCCGAGCCAGCCTCCAAGGCTGGAGTCAAAAGGCTTTGGAATGGCACCTCATGCAGAATCTGAGTCCGGCGATTCATTTATATATGTAGCTCAGAGCAATACCATCCGCCGACCCCAGCCTAGCTGGCGCCTATAGGCGGGGCGGCGCCTGGGACACCGCAGGGCGGAAGCCGCTGCCAGTGGATGCGCCTTGCAGTGTCAAGCGCAGTCGCCCTGGGCATGGTTTTTGCAGGCTCCAACTGGGACTTGCCCTGAGCTCCGCACCTAGGGTGCCAAAAGCAACGTTAGACAGTTGCGCACAGAAATAGATGGGGGAAGGCTGTGGCAACATTTTGGCTTTCTACAGGGCAGCAGGACTTGTCTGTGGCCATCACCTCGGCTGCTGCTACGCGGCCCCGGACCTCTTTTTCTATAGGGTTCCAAAAAGGACGTTAGACACGGGCCGCTGCCGTCGGGCACCCTTTCCGACTGCCGTTGCGCGCAGAAATAGATGGCGTCGTTTGCCCGGCCTGAAACCCTCCGCAGCGACACCAGCCCGTTTTGGGCAGTCGACAGGGCAGCAGGATTGGTCTGTGGCCATCACCTCGCCTGCTGCGACGCGGCTCCGGACCTCTTTTTCTATAGGCTTCCAAAAAGACGTTAGACACGGGC